GTGGGCAGAAGGTGCGGCAGTGCGGCTGCGGGGTGGCAGTGTCGCAGGGTTAATCCCGGCAGGGCCCCAAACCAGAGGCCCGAGGGGCCTGCAGCCCCTGGACGAGCCCCCTCCCTCCTCCCGTGGGGTGGGTGACCATCGTCTTAGACACGTGGTTGTGGCATTCCCTTATCCCTCCCGCACCCCACTAAGATGGCGCAGTAGTCGCCAAGGTCACGCTCTCACGTCCTTGGGGCAGTCCCCGGGCTTCCCTAGACTCCTCCACGGGGCCACTGTCCCGCTCACACCTGGCTGGCCGGGTGGCCATGCTGCGGCTCCCTCGGGGCATGGTCGCGGCGGTGGGACTCGGTTGAGCTGAGTCAGAGACCCAAACGGTGGCGGCGATTCTGTCCCCGGGAGCGACGCGGCGCAGCAGGTCGCTGCGGGCGCAAAGGGCGGAGCCTCGGGGACACGCCCCCAGCGGGAGGTGCGGGGCTTGCAGCCGCACCTCGCCCCCGCGGGTTCCCCGGACTTAACCTCTTCCAGCCTGCGGTCGTCTCGGTGGCCGGTTCAGCTGGGAGGAGGACTCCGCACCCTTTCTGCGCCCCTCAGGAGCTGTGTGGGCCCTGGGGAGATGAGCCAGTGTCGCAGAGCGCGGAGGGTCTACGCAGGGGCGATCTCGGAGGCAGGGAGTGGAGTTAGGTGGTGGCCAGTGCTCCGACGCAGAGGAGACGGGCGACCGGTGGAGGCCGGCCTGGGAGGGGGCACGAGGCACCCGGCCGTGCTGTCCCCCTGCTCTCAGGCACGGTTCTCGGACTTCTGTGTGGTCTCAGGGTCGCGGGGGTGGGGGTGGGGGGCGGACTAGAGCCGGTAAGAGGTGCCTCGGAGGCCGCCTGGCGGGACCCGTCTCCAAAATCCCCGCCAGGGGGCGTCGGGAACCCCTCTGCGACTCCTTCCCGGCCAAAATGCGCCCCCCGCGTGGCCCGCCGCCTCACCTTAGGCCCCTGCCCCACGAAGGCAGCACCGGACGCTGACAGCGTTTACGCGACATTCAAGCAGCGTGCCCATCCCAGAGGCTGTGACCTGACTGCATAGAGGCGTCTGTACACTTCTGAATCCTGTGGCCTCCCGATTTTACCACCTTGGTCCCAGGCCGAGGGGAGGGCGGAAGTGGGGATTTAGGACGCTGTCCAGCCCTTCAGGAACTCCAGGTTTTCCCGTCTTCTCTGAGTGGCTTCGCAGTGGTCATATTATTACCCTGGTGGGAGGGGCGGCCTTCTTTACTGCACCCCCCCATCACTCTCCCTTGTGCGTGGGAGAAGAAACTGAGACCTGGTGGCACAAGGATTGTGAGGCGGATGAAATCACCCAGAGTAAAAGCATCGGTGTGGGGGAGGTTGATCCAAGTGGGGAAAAGAGACCCTTCTGTGAGGAGGAGGGAGAGAGAAAGGGAAAGGGGGGTGGGGTGGAGGGGCCATGCCTGGCATACTCAGTTATGTGTGTGCAGAGCCCTTCTAAGCCACATATACCTGCAAGTCATATGCACTATAGTGTTCTTACCTCTCAGCCAGCCTGTGAAGCAGGGCCTTCCCCTGACCCCTGTCTGGGCCTGGGCCTCAGTTTTCTCCTCTCTCAATTGGGGGTGAAGGGTGGGCCATTTTCTCCTCACAGATGTGCCAGTCCTGGTCCAGCCTCTACTGCTTTGCTCATGCAGTCCCTGTCCACCTGTTCAAATTTGCCAAATTGGCCCATCCTTCTAGGTTTATCAGGTCCTCCTCTGGCAGGAAGCCCTTAGTGACCAGCCCACCTTACTGTGTGCATGGTTAGCTTATAACCCTGGGCCTGCACTGCAAGTGACTGTTACTTCAGCTCCCATGACCGGTGGACTGCAGGTTCCCCAAAGCATGGCCACGCAGCCCTGGAGCCACTCGAGACCACTTAATGAATGTTTTTATAATTATGTATTTTCATGTATATCAGAAGAAATGTATAATTAGCTCAGCAAATCCATGATTTCTTGACCAATATTACTAAGAATGAAGCTGAAGTAGGTATTTCAATTTTTAAAAGTGAGTCACTTTAAAGAAAAAGTTGCTAATAGCTTAAGTAGTAAAAATCACTGCTGTCAGCCATCTCCTGGCCCTCTAGGCGTCTCTGTGGAGCCTTCCTGGAGAAGCCTGGTTGTCCTCTGTTCCCTCCCAGCTTCCCTCCCTTCCCAGGCCTAGGCTGGGTGCCCACAGCCTCACCTTGTAACACTCAGGATCCTGCCCACCAGAACAAGAGCCACTGCCTGCTTTTTGGCTCAGCAGTGTTGCCCATGATGGAGCAGACTGCCTGGTGAGATGGTAAGGCCCCTGGTCATCACAGGGAGTATAAGAGACTGGAGGATCCCTTCCAGCATGTGGACACCGCTCCCTCCCTTAGGTCTCAGGAGGCCCTGAGGAGCCTGTTGGTCCCTGATGAAGAGACAGCCTGGGCCCCCCAGAGCCCCACTGTCCTCGGACAGCACCCTCCCTCTAGCTGACCAGCTAGAAGGAACTCCTGATCACACTCCATTGCTTGCTGGTATGGAAAAGCCTGTTCTGGTCCCTCCCTCTTGGGACCTTAGTTTTCTAATCTATAAATTGTCTATGTTCCAAGCTGGGAGACTAGCCAGTCTCCTCTGTATGCCTCAGTTTCCCCTGGGACATATTTTGATATCCCTTTTCTTACAGGGGATAGAGTGCAATCTTCTAGATGGATCAGCAAGGTTCTGAGGAGTGAGGAAACTTGCCATGGGTACAACCACCTGTCATAAGCTAATAGGAGGTCAGAGGCCAGGCCACCAGGGAGACCAGGTGGGGATATGCCTTCCAAAGATGGGGGTAGGGACCAGGAGGAGTGAAACGCGACTTCTCTTAGACTCCCCCCCGCACATTGGGGAAACTGAGGCCCCCAGCAACACCAGCTGGCCAGGGTCACCCAACACGAGGCCTCAGACCACAGGCGCGACCCGCCCCTGGTTAGGACGGGGTCTCCCGGCCCTAGGCCCCTACCGGGCCAGCCCCTCCCAGTCCACCTCCCCCATCCCCGCGGCCGCCTTCACCGCCGGGAGAGTTTAGAACAAAAGGCCCGGGGGGCGGGGCCGGGGCGGGC